GATTGTCCCGGATTTCCCCTACTACACCCATCAAAGTTTAATTTCAAGAATCCACCAGGTGGGGGAGTCCAAACCACATTCATTTCTGACTTGGTCTGTGTGCAATTTGCAATTTCACCCCACTTCCTCAACATGTCATCCACAGTGTAATCTGTGAATAGTTCCAAAGATTTCAGCCACTGTATCGCCCTAATATATATGATAGCCCTCAGATCTGCTGCTCCTCTCTGGGTTTCGGAGAATATCCTGGAGTTTCTTTCTTCCCACAGTGTCCAACATACTGTAGCCCTTAGTCCTCTCCACATTATCCTTCCCCTTTTTATCCGCCACCTGAAGAAGGAAGGGGAGAAAAGGCCCTGTAAATCTAATGGGGGATTCCAGCTGCATCCAAATAAGGAGTAAGCCCAATCCCAAATTGACCTTGCAAAGTGGCAAGACACCAGTAGGTGAAAACCAGTCTCCCCATCCGCTTTGCACAGAACACACCACTGAGGTGACAAGCAAGTATTGGGTCTCTTCTTTTGGAGTAGATCACCAGTGTTGATTTTTTCCAGATAGGCTTCCCAACAAAAACTACCAACYCTAGGAGGTATTGCTCTGCACCAAACCTCACCAACAGGGAAAGTAGGGAAGGTAGGACTAGTGGACTGACTTAAGACTTTGAAGAACGAAGCACAAGAGAAGATGGCACTGGGGGTAGGTGTCCAAATTCTAGAATCCGCCCTAGTGGGGTCTAAGACAACGTTATCAARAAGAGCAATAAGGCTCGAAATACTATCGAGGTCTGAGTCCCTCAAATCCCTTCTTAGACCCAAGTTCCACCCAATCCCAGAAGTGGAAGAGGACAGGGTGGTGAAAGACGAGATCAGCTCATTTTTCAAATCAGAAAGAGCAAATAAAAAAGGAAACTGATCCTTTAAAGGGGCACTCCCCACCCAGGTTTGTTCCCAAAATTTTATGGAGTTACCGGAATTCAAGTCATACCTGATATTAGGGGAGAAAACTGGTAGCAGGTCATGAATGGCTTTCCAAAAACAAAAGAAAATGGCATGTTTGCAGACAACCTCTGATCCATTTACACCACATATTCCCAACCCACACCTTCTCATTATGTTAATCAAAAAGTCCCAGTCCACTAAACCATAGGCCTTTTCCAAATCCAGTTTAATTGCAATTCCCTTCCTCTTTTGAGCCTCTACACGTTCACTTGCAATTAGAATTTGATCAATAATCTGTCTGTCTTGGACAAAGGCTCCTTGGTATTGGGAAATAATAGAGGGGAGCACCTTTTTAAGCCTTAGAGACAATACCTTGGCAATTACCTTATAGATACTAGTCACTAAGCTTAT